AAAGTGTTCATTTTCAACCTCTTCTCTCTCTCCTCCCTGTCCCCCACCTCCCCTCAGCCACCTGTGACTTCAGCTGCAGGGCATCTGGGCCCTTTTCTGGCCTCTGTGGGCACCTGCACACACATGGCACACACATGCACAGGCACATGGCAGATCGTCCCAGACCTGGTCTTCACAGACTTAGCTTTAGGCTTTGTCCATGAACATCTGCATTTACTCTTCCTTAGACCTAAAACAGTGGTTCTCAACCTTCCTGATGCTGCGACCCTTTAATACAGTTCCTCATATTGTGGTGACCCCCCCCCAACCATAAAGTTGTTTTGTAGCTACTTTTTAAATATAATTTTGTTACCCTTATGAATTGTAATATAAATATCTGAATACAGGATATCTGACCCACAGGTTGAGAACCACTGGTCTAGAGCAAATTGTCTTAAACTGGGGCTCACAGCTCATACTGGGTCATGTTACTAAATGTGGAGTTGAGAAAAAGCTGCCTCAGTTTAACATTTTGAAATGGCTTTGCGTTGCTATGGACAAATAGACCCTTGTTTGTTTTTAACAGAGAATATTGTTCTTTTATAATGAATGGGCCACATATCCATGCTTTTATTGACTGGGCGGCTTTCAGTTTTGTTCCTGAAAACACTAATAAGAATAAGGCTTCTTTGAATAGCCGTGCACAAGTCTCCCTGTAGACTTTGTGAATCCCCATTTACCCCATGTGATTATGGGCCATAAGTTTGATAAGTGTTTCCTAAGAAATTGCCAAGCAGTGGCCCATTGAGTATACCATTTTATATACTTGCCATAACAGTACACAAGCTCCCAGGAGACTCACACCCTCACCATCATTCACCGCATCCATCTCATGGGCATGACAGATGATTGGATGAATCATCATTTACATTGGCTCATTTGCATTTCTTTGATTGATGGGTTGGTGCTGAGGGCAGCCCTTCTTGTACTGACCATTTATAGATCTTCCGGGGAAGGTGGAGTTATCAGTTATATTATCATTGACTTGCAGAACTTCATTACATGTTCTGGAGATGAGCCCTCATCAGATATATGCACTAGAAATATGTTTTCCCAGCCTGTGATTTCCTACTGGATTTCTTAATGGCCTTATAGTTTTTTGTCTATATTTATTTGTTTAATTGTTTCTTGAGCTCTACTCTTATTTTTCTCTGTCATTATCACTTGTTGTTTTTGTTGTGTTTGTTTGTTTGTTTGTTTGTTTGTTTTGAGACGGGGTCTGGAACTGTAGCCTAGTCTGGCTTTGAACTGGGGACTATCCGCCTGCAACGGGCTCCTGAGTGTTAGGCTTACAGACTGTGAGTCACCAGGCCTGGCTCAGCTCAAGTGCTACTATATTTTTGTTAATGGCCCTTCTTCTGTTTACCTTGAATTTTTAGATTATTTTGTTATACGTGTGTGTGTGTGTGTGTGTGTGTGTGTGTGTGTGTGTGTGTGTGTGTGTTTTCTTGTGGGTACACATGCCATGGTGCATGTAGAGAAGTCAGAGGACAATTGGTAGGAGTCAGTTCTCATCTTCCACTCTCTTTTCCTGTGCTCTGTGTACATCAGGACCGTACACAGGTTCGTGGCTTCCGGGCAGTTCTGTCTCCACCACCACCCCACCTCCTCATCATAGGAGCGCTAGAATTACAGAAGAACGTTATACCACATCTGACTTTATATGTGGGTTCCCAGGAGCCAAATTTAGGTTGTCAGGTTTGCATTGCAAGTGCCTGTACCCAGGGGACCCCCTCACTGGCCCCACACATCTGTTTTTACCTTGAGAAAGAGCTCGGGTCCTCATGTTTTCACGGCAAGGGTTACCAACTGAGGTACCTTCCCAGCTCCTAAAAGGCTTCAGTGGAAGAGTCTGTATCACTGCTTTTCATCCAGCTCTCTTCTCCTCCTCCTCCTGCTCCTTTTCCTCCTCCTCTTTCTCCTCCTCCTCCTCCTCCGCCTCTTTCTCCTCCTTCTCCTCCTTCTCCTCATCTCCTCCTCCCCCTTCTTTTGGTTATTGATTGATTTTTTTTGTTTGGTTGTTTTTTTAGGCAGGATTTTCTGTGTAGTGTTGGCTGTCCTGGAACTAACTTTGTAGACCAGGATAGTCTTGAACTCCTTTCTCCTCCTCCTTCTCCTTCTGAGATAGAATTTTACTCTAACCTAGAATGGCCTGGAACTCTCATAGCAATCCTCCTACCTCGGTCTCCTGAATGCTGGGATTACAGTCCTGAGCCACTGTACCTGGGTGCCTATCTTCCCCCTCCTTCTCCTCCTCCTCTTCCTCTTCCTCCTCCTCCTTTCTTCTTGGTTTTTCGAGACAGGGTTTCTCTGTGTAGTCCTAGCTGTCCTAGAACTCACTTTGTAGACCAGGCTGTCCTCGAACTCACAGAGATCCACTTGCCTCTGCCTCCCAAGTGCTGGGATTAAAGGCGTGCGCCACCATGCCTGGCCTGATAGAAAAATTTAAGGGCTATGATATTCTCTCTGGGCACAACTTCACCCACACTCAGCAGATCTTGACAGCCCATGTCTTCACCACCACTCAGTTCAAACTTTGCCTTCTCTAATGTGTAGGCTCGTTACAAGTGTATTGTTTCATTTTCAAACACTTAAGGTTTTTCTAAACATTTATTTGGATTTTTAACTTATTACTGCTATGGTCAGATCCATTTTATGTACCAGCATCTGGTATATCCTGGCAACCACAGGGTAGGCTTTTGAAAAGAATGTATGTTCTACAATCTCTGTATAGTGTTCTATAAATATTAATTAGATGAAATTGGTTGATAGTGGCTTCTGAATCTTTTATATCTACTTGCGCCAGTTGCTGAAAAAGAATGTTTGTATCTTCAATTATGGTTGTGCTGTATCTGTTCCTTCCTGTGGTTCTGATTTTTTTATCTACTTATTTACTTTGCTTCAGATATTTAACAGCTATGTTTAAGTGATGCAATATATTCTGTATTGTTCTGTCCTGTCTTCAGGATGAAATAATCTTCTCATCATGGAATTTCTGAGGTTCTTATCCTTTCTCCCCCCTTTTATTCTAGCCCGGCCTGTGCTTCTGTATTCAGGATATCTTTTCTGTAGAAAGCATGTTACTGGGCATTTTTATAACCCAGTCTAAAAAGTCTTCCTCCTCGAGAAGACAAGCCCCTTCCTTTCGGCATCCATGCTGCTCTGGGCAGCTCACACTGAAGGCTCCTCCCTGGGGTGTGTCCTCCACATCTGTCTGCCCATCCTGCTATGAGAGACAAAGATGTCTCTAGCTCCCCATCTGATTTTTAAAAAATGAAACAAACAAAAACCTCACTGTGCGGGGCTGGAGAGATGGCTCTGCAGTTAAGAGCACTGACTGTTCTTCCAGAGGACTTGGGTTCAATTCCCATCACCCTCATGGAAGTTTACAACTGTCTCTAACTCCAAGATCTGGCATGCTCACACAGACATACATGCAGGCAAAATACCAATGCAAATGAAATAAAAGTAACTAAATTATTTTTTAAAAAACCTCACTGCTGCTGTGAGCATCCTTGTACAGGTGGCCCTGTCTGGAGACAAATCCTCTTGGGACACCAGCCAGAGTGGCATTGCAGGCTCACATGTGGCTTGTCAGGGCCTCATTTGATAGGTAGCCAGATTTACCAGGAGTCCAGGGCTTGAGTACAGATTAGTGGTGGAATACTCACCCATTCAATGTTCACGCTGCATTCAGGTTCAGTATCACAAAAATGTTAAAAGCCTGGGATGTCCCTATGAAGATGGGAATGACCAGAGAGAAGGGGAAAGACATGGAGAAGAGAACTAGAAGGAGCGCCCGGGCTTGAGGACTGGGACCCACTGCCCACATGGGAGGGGTCACCTTAACTAGGGACGGGTGCCACATCATGGAGCAGGAGGGGAAATGTTGTTGTTGCTTTTACTCTTTGGGGGGGCCTGCCACCCAGCTTTCAAAAAAAAAGTCTCACGGAGATGAATTCTTACTTATAAACACCACCCAGCCTTAGCTTGGCTTAGTTTCCAGCCAGCTTCCCTTAACTTAGCTTACCCCGTCTATCTTTTGCCTCTTTCCGTTTTCTTACTTCTGTAAATCTTACTCGTACCCCACTGCTGGCTGTGTAGCTGGGTGGCTGGCCCCTGGAGTCCTCCTCCCTCTCTGGCTCCTCCTTTTCAATCCCTCCTCCCAGATTTCTTCTTATATTTATCCACTCTGCCTGCCAGCCCCACCTATCCTTTCTCTTGCCTCGCTATTGGCCGCTCAGCTCTTTATTAAACCATCAGATGTTTTAGACAGGCACAGTAACACAGCCTCACAGAGTTAAACAAGTGCAACATGAACAAAAGTAACACCCCTTAAAATGATGCTCTACAACAGGGAAGCAGGCGGGTAGATGGTCTGGAAAGCACTTCGGGGAATTTGCCTCTAAATCAGTGGTTCTCAACCCGTGGGTCATGGCCCCTTTGGGGGTGGAACCACCCTTTCACAGGGTCTCCTAAGACCATCTAAGACCATCCGAAAACAGATGTTTACATTATGATTCATAACAGTATGAAATTTACGGTTATAAAGCAGCAACAAAATGTTATGGTCGGGGGTCACCTCAGCGTGAGGACCTGTGTTAAAGGGTCGAAGCGTTAGGAAGGTCGAGAGAGAACCGCTGCTCTCGATGAAGCAGAAGCCCAGAAACATAAGAGAAGGAAGAGGTAATAACGTCTTCACCTGGGACCAGGGTGTGTGGTTGGCCAGGGAAACAGCGGGTGCTTCTGAGGCCAGGCTACCCTATGTGTGCCAGCCGCCCCGAGTGTGCAGGCCGCCCCACGTGTGCAGACTGACCCAAGTGTGCAGGCCGCCCTGAGTGTGCAGGCCGCCCCGAGTGTGCAGGCCGCCCCACGTGTGCAGACTGACCCGAGTGTGCAGGCCGCCCCGAGTGTGCCAGCTGCCCCAAGTGTGCAGGCCGCCCCGAGTGTGCCAGCTGCCCCGAGTGTGTAGGCCGCCCCGAGTGTGCAGGCCGCCCAGAGTGTGCAGGCCGCCCCGAGTGTGCAGGCCGCCCCGAGTGTGCAGGCCGCCCCGAGTGTGCAGGCCGCCCTGAGTGTGCAGGCTACCCCATGTGTGCAGACTGACCCGCGTGTGCCGGCTGCCCCGAGGCCCTCCAGGCAGGCTGTATGTACAGTTCCTGACCTACCGTGTTGGCAGAGACGTGATTATAGTACAAAGGATCTTCTACACCCGTGTCCGCGGAAGACAAGCACTTTGAGAACTTGTTACCCACAAGGGGTGGGCACTTGCAGTTCTCCTGCCCAGAGCTTCTACTGTGCATTGTGAGCAAGACGCATGCCGCTCCCGAGAAAATGTATGGGGGAGGGTCTGACCGTTAGGAAATGTCACCGGAAGTCTCAGTCTACCCCCAAGGCAGCCCTGACACACATTCTGGTGTGTCGCTTTGTTCGTTTGACTGAACAGAAATGGAAATAAAGACCCTGCCCCTATCCAGCAAGCTCCTCAGGCTGGGGTGGACCAAGGCTGGTGCCTTCCTCATTCCTGTGAGGTCAAGGAGGGCTACACCTTCCCCTTTCCTGTGAGGTCAAGGAGGGCTACACCTTCCCCTTTCCTGTGAGGTCAAGGAGGGCTACAGGAAGAGACCTTCTTGGGCTGGAGAGGTGGCTCAGAGGTTAAGAGCACTGGCTGTTCTTGCAGAGGTCCTGAGTTCAATTCCCAGCAACCACATGGTGGCTCACAACCATCTGTTATGAGATCTGGTGCCTCTTCTGGCCTGAAGGGACACATGCAGGCAGAACACTGTATACATAAATAAATAAATAAATCTTAAAAAAAAAAAAAAAAAAGGAAGAGACCTTCTAAAAATGGTATCTTGCCGTGAGATCTCTCCCGTGTCTCCCTCCCACTCCCCTCCCCATCTGTGCGGGGCCATGCACAGCCAGCATGGCGGTGCAGGGGAGTCACACAAGGAGAGTCCCCCACCCTCTCTTTCCGCCTGTGTCCTGGTTCCTGCCCACACCACATGTCTCTCTCCCTGCTGGGTCTGTGTCCTCCAGACAGCAGTGACAGTGAACTGGAGTTGTCCACCGTGCGCCACCAGCCGGAGGGCTTGGACCAGCTGCAGGCCCTGACCAAGTTCACCAAGAAGGAGCTGCAGTCCCTTTACCGAGGCTTCAAGAATGTGAGTGCCCCCGTGTCCCCAGTCCCCATTAGAGCCTCGAGAGAGATCCTGGCCCACCTTCCTGTTTCCTACCCAGGAAATGGGGTCTTTGCAGGGCTCGTATGTAACGGAAGAGCTATTTTGGGGGGTGGGGTTGAGCATGGATATTGTGAAAGCCACCCTGCCCTTCTGTGACAGCCTCCAATGCTGGACCAGGCGGGACAGCGTTGGCATGAAGGGAGCAGCCTCCGCAACCGCGTCTACCCTGCCATCTGCCTGCCCTACCAAAGGCTTCCCTAGCCCGGGGCTCAGAGGGGCACAATGTGCCTCAGGCAGTGGGCACCTCATCCTTCCAGAGGGTGGAGAGAGGTCAGCCCTGTGGAGTCAGGCATGGAGCCAGAAGTGGCCCAGGCCACTGAGAGGTGTGACTTCTCCCTGCAGGAGTGTCCCACGGGCCTGGTGGACGAAGACACCTTCAAACTCATCTACTCACAGTTCTTCCCGCAGGGAGGTAAGTCCAAACCCCGGGCCTCCCCGACTGCTTGCAAGCCCTGACCATGTCCCCTTTCTGGGGAAGGGGTCTGGGGACCATTCCCACCTGCCTAGCCACCCCTTCCTTTTTGGAGGGCCTGATGCTGCTCTGACCTATCAGAGGGGACCCCCCACTGGGCACGAGCTCCGGGCAGGACTGTGTGAGACCGGAACAGACTTCCAGATAACCCAACTCCAGTCTGGCCCTTTCTCCCCCCAGACGCCACCACCTACGCACATTTCCTCTTCAACGCCTTCGATGCGGATGGGAACGGGGCCATCCACTTCGAGGTAGGTCCCCGCTGACCCCTGTGTCCTGCCCCCGTGGTCTTCGGAGTGGTTCCCTTGGTACCAACTTCTTAGGGCTGTTGAATGAGTCAGACTCGATCCCGGGCAGAGCCTTCCACATGTCACTCAGGACACAAGCAGACCGATGACAGTTGGCTAGCTTTCTTTTCCATGCTGGGGGTTTGCCTCCAACTTAGTTAAGCCAGCCAGGGAAGCTGCCAGGACACCCTCAGCTAGCAGTGACCCAATGCAAATCTACACCTTTGAGGTCAAGGATTTTTAAAAATGTATTTATCATGTATTTGGGGAGGGGCGCACGCCACAGCAAGTGCGTGGAGGTTAGAGACAACTCTCAGGAGTCAATGTTCATCCACCATTTGGGGCCTGGGGATCGAACTCAGGTTATCAGGCTTGGCGGCAAGTGCCTTTAACAGCTCACCAGCCCTTGTTTTTGTTTCTTTGAAACCAGGTCTCTCTGTACTAATCCAGACTGGCCTCAAACTCGTAACCCTCCCGCCTTAGCCTCCAGAGTGCCGGGAACACAGCCATGAGCTACCACGCCTGGGTCTCACATGGCTCAAAGTGGGGTTTCAAGTCATTGTTCCCTGACCTTATTACTAAGCAAGCAGGTCAGAAACACTCAGAACATGTTGAGTGGACTTGAGGCCTCCAGGCTGTCATCCCAGCAAGACACCATGAGTGACGGCCAGTGTTGCTCGGAGTGGGGAAGGAGAAGCCAGAAGCCCCCACATCGCTCCGGACAGCCTGGGCTCCCCGTGAGCAGTGGTGTCATGGGTTCCTCCCAGGGCTGGCCACATGCAGTCATTTGAGACAGGCCCCATCTGTGGAGCCCAGGTCCCTAAAAATAGCCGCAGGAGAAAAGCTGAAACCTCTTCGGAGAGGACCTCACTGAGAGCGAGCCTGATCGATAAGTGCCCCAGCTTGGCTTCCAAGGCCAAGGACGGCCAGCAGGAAAGCGGTCTAGCAAGCACACAGCTCCGAAAGGCCATGGACAGCCAGGCCGGGGTAATAATAACTCGTCAATAATGCCACTGGGTTATTTTTACACAGCACCAGCCACAGTGATACACCGGATGGGCCTGGGAGCCTGGGCTCAGCTCTGTGACCACAGCCCCCACGCCCACCAGAAGGGCCAGTCCCTCTGTGTACACCGGTATAGTTACCACTAATTTCCATTAACACCTGAGGCACCGGCGTCATTGCACATAGAAAATACAATGAGAACCGGGAGCTGGCCGGGAACTGCGTGGCCGCCCCAGGCTTCCCCTGTGGCCAGTTCCTGAGGTTCTGCCCTGGGACCACAGAGCCTCTTGAAGAAGCATGGAAAGGAATCCAATGAGAGGTCCCAGCCACAGCCATGTGGGAGAGCTTTACCTATCTGTCAACAAGCCCTTGGGTCAGCTTCAGGACCCTTTTGTGAGTCCATGGACCAGGAAGGTCATGGCGCCGGCCCCCTCCCGTGAGCATCACTTCCTGTCCCTGGGGACCCTTCCGAAATGACAGAGAGAGGGATCTGGGGGTAGGTGGTGTGTCTGAGAAGCAGGGCATGTACTCAGTGGCTGAGATGGGACCTCTGACACCTTCTCGGGTCATTCAGACTGATACCTTCCGGAGCCTTCCACACACTTCTCTGTGTGTGAAATGAATCCCTTTGGTTTCAGTCCCCTGAGGAACTTCCTGGTTGTGGCATTCTGGGAAGCCTTCTACTGGAAAGGGGAGGGGGGCGCACACATATTTCCACTGCTCCATCCTCGGTGTGCCCCCAGGCCAGGATCCCAGGAGTCTAGAATGATCTTTTCAGGTGGGTGGACAGTGCTCTGGAAGATACTTAGCCCAACTCAACATCTCAGAACCTTCCACCTGCTGTGGACAGTGCTGGACGTGGGTGTGCCTTTACCAGTCCATGCCATGAAGGATCTTTCTAATTCAGCTGGTTTATCTTAGCAAACACTTCAGTAACTGTGGGTGACTCCCGGGTACCCAGCTTGGAAATGGCATTGGACAAGATGCTCATTTGGAAAGCGGAGCTATCACGTGTCTGGAGGGTTGTGGCCACCTCTTTGTACTATATCCCTAACCCTATAATGGCTTCCATGTTACTGACCAAGTTGGCTTCCCTAATATGGTGTGAGCTGTCATCTCAGGCTTCTTAGCGGCTTCTTTATGCTCATCTGTGGGATCTTGACTTGGAAACCTGAATAAGCCCTGGGTGCCTCTTTGGAGCTTACACCTCGGAGCCTGGAGTTAAGACTGGTGGTGATCACACGTGAAATTATGCTGCTTGACAAATGAGGCCCTCCGGTGGCTTTGCAGGGACAGTCTGTCAGTCCTCTGTTAGCTGCGGGCTGTGTGGCGAAATGCAAGGTTTCTATAGAGAAGATAGGAGGGTGCTTGCGCCCCCTTGTGGTCTACTTGAGAAGGATCGCATCCAAACTAGACACCACACTTCTCAGCCTCCTAGAGGGAAGGCCTGTGGAGTGGGCAATGTGGAGGTGGATTGTCAAGGCTTCAGGGATGACTTTGAATCTTCCTTGCTTGGGTAAACCACAGCAACACTTTCCCAAGCTTAAAAGTGTAAGAAATACCACCTCGTTTCTCCTTTGAATTTTTTTTTTTTTCATGACTTCCAAGGCCAGTAGACTGACAGGGCAGACTTTGGGAAAACTGGGTGACCCCCTACACCAAAAGCTTACAACTCCTCGGGTCTGTCCTGTTTAGATTTGGTGTCTTAAGCCTCCCTGAGCGCACACTTTTCCCCTCCTCCTCTTGACACCTGACTGCAGGATTCAGGTTGTCATGTGACTCAGTGAAAGATCTCCAGCTCCATCAGACCCGCCTTGGACCTGCTTTCTCTTCCCCTTCCCCAGGTCAAGGCCCCTGGACTGGGGACCTCCCTTAACTTCTCCCTGGCTTTGCTCTCTTTTCAAGGGTGCATCTCCCAGCAGCTGCTTGGAAAGAGTGTATGGGAAGTGAGTTTATAGCCACTGGGTATCCCCCGGAAATGCCTTTTTCCCTTCCTCTCTTTCGCCTGCTGCATGGATAGAACTCCAGGGAGAATGTTTCTCGGGCATCATTCCCCCAGGGCTACTGTTCAACAAGCCATCCGATGACTCTGATCAGGTGTGGGACCTTATTGACAAGGATGGATGATTGATATTGATTGGTTTCTCCCAGTTGGCTTTGTGCGTCTCTCTGGAAACCCTCTCTTGGCAGCCAGTTTTGCTAAGCCTCCCCAGGAACACCTGTGCCATGTGTTCAGCTGTCACTGATCTCACACTGTGCCCTTGAAGGGTGGGGGTGGGGCCTGGGAACTTAGCGCTTTGCCTTCTGGGAAATCTTTCCTGATTTCTCTGACTCACTTTGTTGCATTTTCTCTGGTTCTGCCTGGAGTTTCTGTCCTGGCACTCACTGTCCCCCGGGATATCTCTCTCTCTCTCTCTCTCTCTCTCTCTCTCTCTCTGTGTGTGTGTGTGTGTGTACACATGCACTTTTTAGAAGACCCTACTTGCTCCTCCAAACCTTTTCTCATTTTAATCCCTACCAACCAGCGAGCTCTTTCTGGTCTTGGATTATTCTTCTGTCTTCTTTTATAAACAGTGTCCTACGTTTTTATGTAAGGCATGCCAGGTTTCTAACCTCTGCATCTCC